AAAGATGTAGGGTGGCAAATTTGTTTATTTATCTATCTTAAATAGTTTAACCTGGTGACACAATTTTCAACTGATTCTCATTCAAAACCCCAAAATGGACAAGAGTTAACAGTAAAGTCAAAATAGTAGAAAGATTGGAAAAGTACAAAGACACATTTTCTTTTTTTTTTTACAGCTCTACTTTCATGGAGAATCTATCCCAATTAAAATTAAAATCAACAATGAGAGCAACAAAACAGTGAAGAAAATCAAAGTCAGTGGTAGGTATCATGGATTTTGAGTGTTTGATCTTTTAGCTAACATTAGGGATACATTAAAATTATTTATTTATCCTCTCCCCACAGTGGACCAAACCACAGACATTGTCCTCTACTCAGCGGACAAATACACAAAGACTGTTCTTTGCCAGGAGTTTGGGTAAGTCTGAGAGACTAGCAGAAGAAAATTATGCTTTAACAAGTCGGGAAATAAATTTTACACAAGGGGTAATATCACATTGTCCTATTTATGTTAGAGAAAGTTTACCCTGAGAACATAAGGACACCAGACCCACCATACTGTTGGTGGGAAAGGCAACATAAGAACAACAGCTAAGCTCCACTTTCTGGTCTAAAATATGAATTTGCTTGTGTTTTCTTTGCAGAGAGACGGTGGAGGCCGGTGGAACCTTTGAAAAATCTCTTACCATCACCCCAGTGCTGTCCGATAACAAGGAGAAAAGAGGCCTGGCTCTGGATGGACGGCTGAAGGACGAGGACACCAACCTGGCCTCTACCACCATGTCTGTACCCAAACACTTCAGAAGAAAAATTGAATAACAGGATTTACATGTATTTTCACTGTTTACACCCGATGTAAGCTCTTTTTAGACTTTGTAGCTTTGCTGTTGCTTTTTTAGAAACCGATGATGTCTTATAGTAGTACTCTTAACTAAAATAAACCTGTTAATCCCTGAAATCCTCGTAAATCCCTCCTTCACACAGGCTGCGGCAGGGTGTGGAAAAAGAGGTGTTGGGTATCCTGGTTTCCTACAAGATTAAAGTTAACCTCATGGTGGCCGGAGGAGGGTGAGTCTGCGTCACACTTTTTCTGTCTCAAACAAATCTAAAGATTAATAAGGATTAGATGAAAGGGGGAAAAAAACTTCTAATGTTTTTCTTTTCCCTCAGCCTGCTGGGCGGCCTTACTGCCAGGTAAGCAGCATCCATCACAGCAGTTATATCACAGCTCTTTAGCGAGCAGCTTTTGCTTATTGTTTGGGTTCTTTTCTGATGCAGTGATGTCACCGTGGAGCTTCCGCTTAACCTCATGCACCCCAAACCTGAAGGTACTTTTTATTTATCAACACAAATTTCTGAACTTTATGTTTTCCACTCTGGCACTAATAGAATTCTTTTCTGTTATTTTTTTCAAATCCTCCAAATTGGGAAGAGTAAAGACTCCACATCGCTGTAAGTACTAATTTTATTCTTTTGTATCAGAAACATCAAATCAACTGTGATTTTTTTTTTTTTTTGTGTGTGTGAAAGATAATTCACAGAATCTTGAAAATCAAATCACAGCCTTTGAAATTTAGTCACATTTTGTCACCTTGAAATCAAATTTTATATAACTCACCATGGTAGACAAATGCATGCATTTGTATCCTGTCCAAAATAAAATACTTTGTACTTATTGTCTTTAGAACTTGCCTTATTAGTGTGTGTATTGCTACATAAATCCAGGTGTGAAGCAAAGATATAACAGGTTTTTTAGAGAGCATTAGTAAATAAACAACATCATAAAGATCAAAAACCTAAAGAAGGATATAAAAGCTAGAATAATCTAAACATCATTAAACGGGTAGAGTGTATGGAAGCATCTCATACATCTATTCTCTCTCTAATAAGCCTTTTTTTTCTGTCAGCCAGCTTTAAAATAAAGACTACTACTCCAAAAAAAGGAAAACTATATAAAAGTACTCAATATACATTCTTCACCCATTTTAAGCTAATCTACAAAGAATGTTCAAAAGTTCTAGATCTCAAAGCTTGTAGATATCAACACCAGAAGACTCATAGTTATAGTTGCAGTGAAGGTTTTATTTCTAAAGTTATTTTTTTTTCTTTAGTTTTAATAGTGGAAAAACTTTTAAAAATATGTTTTGATTGTTACGTTGTGTTGGTCTGTCACATAATAAATAATTAAACGCCAATGAAACCAAAACCTGATGAAACACTCTGACCTTGGCTGTAGAATAAAACAGTAGAAATTCAAGTTGATTTGAACATATCTGTAAGCTCCTGTAAGCTGAATGAATGTTTAATACTGAGTACAAATAGACATACCAGTAACTCTCTGCTCTATCCCAAACAGAGAAGATGTTACCCTGCAGATTGAGAAGACGCCCACAGGAAGACAAGAGGACGACCAAAGCAAATGACGTTACACAAAGAAGAAAAACGTGACTGGTGTGAGGAAGGAAGGGGGAAAATATTTCAATGCAGGGCAAAAGAAAATGTTTTTTTTTTCCCTCCTAGGTTATTTTGTTGTTGTTTCTGTAAATGTAGAGAAAGCATAGCAGTTTATCTGTCTGTCTGTGTTTTAAACAATATTAATGCACAAGACCCTTACTAAAACCTTCACATAAGTGGAATTTTATTTCTCCAGTAAAAGTTTGTTTGAAACCATTGTGCTTTTAAACACTGTGATTCAATTACCCATAAAGGAAAATAAAATAACTTAAAAAATATTTTGTGTGGGTTGTTTTTAAAATAGTCATTTGCTTAAATTTGTGCTTTTGAACATTAAAATCAAATTGTTATTCTAATGTTTACTTAAGCATTGCTACATGGTTGTCCTTTCCTGATAAATTTGGAACTTGCCCTTTGGAAGCCTCCTGCCTTCTGGTGCCTCTGTCCGTGGTGCTTAAATGTAGGATTGCCTGATCTAATCCAGGTTAAGTAGTTAGTTCTTTCAAGGCAGCTGCATGAACCATAAGAGTTAGGTGAGCTTCTGTGTACCATGTATACTTATCTACACCCTTCTGGCTTTGATTAAAAAATCATACTTTTTTATATTTGAAGGAAAGGTCTGGTCAGCAAGGAATAACCAATAGATCATAACCTATACCTAAAACTAATACGTTTGCAGTGATTTAATGAATTTAGAATCAGTAAAAAAAAATTTAAGCAATAGTTTTCATTGTGATAACTTAGTCTGGGACCGCTTTATAAGCAAAATCAATGGGAACTAGTAGACACATCTGGAATCAATAAAAATTATTTAAAGTTTCCAGAGGACTTCACCAATTAAATTCGCAAGAGCTATAGTTAAACTGACAATGCCTACATGCATGGCAGTTTGATGTTGTAATACAACGGGTAAAAGTGAAAAAAAAAGTGTAATTTCACCTTTCCGATTCATGATCCTCCACGGACGGGTTTGTCGTTGGATTGCCAACTTGAAGAGGGAGGATTTGCTATTGAACTTCTGGCCAGAGAAAAAACATGTAGCCAACATTTGGAAGAAGAATGTTTTCAAGATGACTTGGATAATAGCGCGTTGTGACAATCACTAGATACAGCATTGGGACTTGATCAACAGCCAATACCGCACCGTGACGTCACAAACCAGTAGGTGGCAGTAGTGTTCTTTCACAAACATGGATGCCTCCGGTAAATCACATTCAAATGAAACTTACTAACTAAAAACACTTATCATTCATTGAACATTATGTAATAATTTAATATTTAAAGTACTTTCAGAAGTTTGAATTCTGAATATGACCGGACTTTTCCTTTAAACCATGATATTAAAGTAAAATTACGATGTCTTACAAAAGTGTACATACCCTTTGTACTTGTTCCAATTTTAAATCCCTAAACAAAGATCAGCACTATGTAGGTTACCACTACTCGTGNAAAAAACATGTAGCCAACATTTGGAAGAAGAATGTTTTCAAGATGACTTGGATAATAGCGCGTTGTGACAATCACTAGATACAGCATTGGGACTTGATCAACAGCCAATACCGCACCGTGACGTCACAAACCAGTAGGTGGCAGTAGTGTTCTTTCACAAACATGGATGCCTCCGGTAAATCACATTCAAATGAAACTTACTAACTAAAAACACTTATCATTCATTGAACAGTATGTAATAATTTAATATTTAAAGTACTTTCAGAAGTTTGAATTCTGAATATGACCGGACTTTTCCTTTAAACCATGATATTAAAGTAAAATTACGATGTCTTACAAAAGTGTACATACCCTTTGTACTTGTTCCAATTTTAAATCCCTAAACAAAGATCAGCACTATGTAGGTTACCACTACTCGTGAAGGCGACACAGCGAACATGAAGGAAAGAGGATAATCAGGTGCAATGGTTTTTGGCCTACATGCAAAACACTCCATATGGAACAAAATGAACCTTATTAAAATCAACACCCATGGTTACATGCATAGCTGTGTCAAACTGTGGCATGGAAGGAACTCAAGGTTCATGGGAAGAAGAAGAGTTTTGAATAAAAGACTATCCTGAACCAGAGAGACCTTAGAAAGTGTAGAGACAAAGCAACAATCAAATAGTTAAATCAGAATAAGTGTGCACTTAATGTTCTCCAACCACTCTCACTCAAAAAAATGGTCAGAAACTGTTGACTCTTTATTGATTGATTGACTTTATTGATCTCACAGTGGAGAAATGTACTTGTTACATCAGTTCAAACAGCCAAAAAGAGAAAAAGTAGGTGCCAAAGGAATAAAACGGTGCATGGGAAATGAACTGTGCGTCCAGATATAAAAGTTTTTTTTTTTTTTTTATAGTAAGATTATTATACAGGGTTATTGCGTCAATCGGTTTTCTTTCTTTCTTTCTTTCTTTCTTTCTTTCTTTCTTTCTTTCTTTCTTTCTTTCTTTCTTTCTTTCTTTCTTTAACAACAATATCGCAGCATAGTTTTCAAAACCTAAACAAATGTTACCGAAAGGGGGCGCCAAACGCCGGCTGACGCTTGGCCGACCAAGAAGAAGAAGATGCGTCACGCACAACGTGCTGTTGGAGCAGAAAGCAACATGGCTGTGAATGGAGGTTTGTGAACTTAACTGTTTGTTAAGTTGAAATTCCGCTCTTGTAGTCATTCATTATTACATGTATCACTTTATAACGCTTTATTAACGTGTATTTATCGCGGCTGAGCTGATGTCTTCTTCGTGGTTTAGTCTTAATATGTTCGGCACCCCGGTTGGTTTTGACTGCTAGCTTGTCGTTAATTTCTGACAGTTGTAAGAAAATAAATCAGCTCTGTTACCCAAAAGGTTTTTTTTAAAGTTCCAACAAGCAACCAACCAGGCAGCCTGTATATAAAGGCAGTGCTTCAGTGTTCGCTTGTCGTCCAGCTGATATGATCTGTTTTCGCTCAGATGTTGTTGTTTTACCCTCAGATGAAGACTTTGAATGGGAGCCTCCGACGGATGCAGAGATGAAGGTGATCCAGGCTCGCAGAGAGAGACAGGACAAGATCAGCAAGCTAATGGGAGATTACCTCCTGAAAGGGTACAAGATGCTGGGGGATTGCTGCGAGGTGTGCGGGGTAAGCTTGAAGTTATGCTTTTGTTCTCCTACATCATAAGAAAAGAGAAACCACTTCCAATTAATATATGGCTTGAATATTAGTTAAACTATAGTGCACTCATGAGGTTTAACCAGAGGTGTCAAGTAACAAAGTACATATACTTCGTTACTGTACTGAAGTATACTTTTTTAGGTATCTATTCTTTACTCCATTTCTTATTTTTCTTCCTACTTCTGACTTCTACTCATTACATTTTCACACAAGTATCTTTACTTTCTATTCCTTACATTTTTAAAACAAACGTTACTCGTTACTCTTGGATTCGGTTTAATGTTTATAAATATTTATTTCACGTCATGTGTGCCATCCAATGCAGATCATTGGCCCCATTCACGTCTAGTGAAAACTAGTGTAATTGGATGAGTCATATATCGCAAACATTCATTGGTTAGCTAAAGGAAATCATCAGAAGCAAGCAGGTGTTCTTCAAACTGCAAACGTGAATTGTCTATGATGCCATGCTACAATGTCGGATTCAGAAAAAGATGTTGAAATGTCTGAAAGGTTGGACACAGGCAAGAGCGTATCGGGAGACGGAGACCAAGAAGAGACCAACTTGGCCCTATCTTAAAGAATTTTTCGAAATAATCGAAACATTGAGCTTTCAATTCCTATAGTGGCATCTAGCTGTTTTTTTTTAAAGGTTACTTTATACTTTTATACCTCAAGTAGTTTTTGGAGCACAAACCTTTTCACTTTTACTTGAGTAAAGAGGTCAAGCTGAAACTTTAACTTTTACCAGAGTGTTTTTAAACTGCAGTATCTACAAATGTGTGTACTTTTGACACCACTGAGTTTAACATTAGGACAGTTGTTTC